TGATGAAGAGGCTGTTTGGTTTCCATGAATCTAAATGAAGTGTTCCAAACAGGCTCCCACACGCTTGCAATAACATGTTTATGCACAATGCTTAATCATATATCCTCATCGGCTTGTAGCTATGAAGAACCACTGACCTTCTATTAATCGCAATGTCAGTGGTTCGATCCCTGAAACCTCAGTTGCCATAATGGGGGGAAAAAAGTATTTATAGGAATGGGTGGATGTATCAAGTTCTCAAAGTAAAAAAAAGCGCTGTACAGTACAGTGCATTTAGGCAAAGAGAAGCCCTCTTATATGTAGCAAAGCTATATGACAAAATACATTTAACTTAGCAGGTTCACCTATAAATAAATAAGCATTTTTGAGCTGGGGGTCCTTATAAGTTTGCAGTTTAATCCTGCAACCCCATTAAAACCAAAGTGTTTCCAACCAAAAATCTGTCTTTCCCTAATCTTGCCTTGAGCTGACCTGCCAGTGAGGAATGAGTTTGGGCGTTTACACAGGCACGAAACTGTTATAAGAGAGAGGATTGGAATTATAATGCAAGATGAAATGAGAGCCCCATTGCAGGTCTTGATTATTTTGTATTAATAATTATTGGAGGCAATCACTGTATCTGAATTTACATTTGAAATAATTGCACAGTCCTGATGGCACCAGGAGGAGGATGCGGTTTGCTAGCTGATTCCCATGTAAGAGGGCTTCTCTTTGTCATTAATCGTTTCCTGCTGGTCAAGTATCAAAACAAATAGAAAGATGTTTTTGTAACTGTTTGTCCATGCTGTGCGACTGCTTTGTGACACCTCGGTCATACTAGATCCAAACCAGGCCACCACAGAGGAGTCGGAGGTCATGGCCCCTCCACAGGAACCATCGGAGGACACTATAGCTGCTCAAGATGACCACAGAGTTCGCATCCTCTTTGAACGTTGCCTGATCGCCTGCGCACTCTATGAGGAATTCTGGTCCAGGGTAAGAATGATTTGCAGATGCACTTTTTTCTGCAGGTTGATTAAAAAATCTCCTTAAATTCTCCCTAAACTCAGAATTTTAGGCCTTAACACTAAAACTGCCAGGTGGGTCCTTTTGGCCCCATTCAGCAACAATAAACAGTAAAGCCAGAGAAGTTAAATTAATCTTTGTAATCAAAGTTAGTATTTAAAATGATGTCTTAGTTATTTTTATCAGTTTTGCAAATTATTTATTATTTCATTACAGATCATAAAGGTAAAATATATACTAGAATTTACTAATAAAGAAAGATTACAATAAAACAACACATACTTTTTAAAAATGCAGAGGATCAAAAGGACCCCTGTTACCCTTGATGTCTCTTCCATCTAATAAGTGTAAGTGCAAATTCAATGAGATCCGGCTCAAGAACAGCATAGTTGCTTCTGATCCACCTTGTAAAAGAAAAAGCTCAAATTAGGAATTAGGTAGATTTGCATCTAGAAAAAAGCCAGTCAGTAAACACCTGCCATCACCAAATATTGTTCTGCATACACGTCAGCAACATCATCAATATTCCAGCCTCAGGATGACCAACTCTACATTAACAGCTTTAACTCCTGCAACCCCAAAAACGGGACACCAGTGCTGTTTGAATAGTCATGTAAAAAATAAAAAGCAGTTAAGACATGTATGCATGTGCGCTTAAATTGGCTTTTCAAAGTCTCTAAAACTTCACATTACACTGGAGGATATTTAAACTTCAGTTTGAGTTCATGTGTAGTCTGCATGAATCTCTGTGTGTGTTTCTCAGTACATTCAGTACCTGGAGCCACAGAGCGTGGACGAGGCCCGGGCGGTTTATAAACGAGCCTGTGAAATCCACCTGGCGTACAAACCCAACATCCACATGCACTGGGCGACCTTTGAGGAGAGGCACGGTATGACAAAACATTAAACACCCAACCATCCCTTTGTTCTTTATTCTTGAATGTTAACAGACACTTAAGGGCTGTACTGGACAGTCATGAAAGCTTATCATCTTCTCTATCAGGTGACTTAACTGAAGCTCGGCGAGTGTTGGAAGCCCTGGAGAAGAAACTGCCAGGTTTGGCGGTCGTCCGTATCCGCAGGGCTGCTTTGGAGAGACGAGCCGGCCAGCTGGATCAGTCGGAAGCCTTGCTGAGGGAGGCGGTGGCTGAATCCAGAGAGAAGCCCACGTTACACGCTTTCTATTCAATCAAGCTGGCTCGATCGCTGCTAAAACTGGGCAGGGACCCCAGCAGTGCCCGCAGTGTTTTACAGGAAGCGCTGGAAATTAGTCCGGTGAGATGACAGAACACAATTCATTCATATTGCCAGAGAAATTATGTTAGACCATAAATTTGTGTAAGCTGAAAAGTGAAGACCATGCTTGCATTCTTTGTAATGACCAGCAGGGGTCAACTCTGATTGCAAAAACAAGTCTGGTTGTATAGGGGTCTATGGGGAAAAGAGTCTTCAGTATTGCTCACTTGATCTGGGACCTTAGTTAACTTTTTCCTGATGCTTTCGTAGGTTGAATCAGATGTTTTAAATCTCACTGAATACACACATGATGTTCAGTTTGTAAATTGTGTTCCTAACTACAGCAAAATGGACAAAATAGCAAGATTAGGGCAGAAAACGCACAAATGGAGGACACCAAAAACCATTATGTCCATTACGCCATTATTATAAAAATTCTGCTCCAGGTTTTGAAACTTGTTTTGCATACCTGTACCAGTTTAAAGCTTCGACATTAACCTCTTACATTATATTGTAAACATGCTCACTTTACAGTTTGCTTAATAAGTAATGATTTTTCACATTTGGGCAGAATTTTAATGGCAATTAAATGTTTGTTTTTTCCATTTTGACCACTAAAACATCTAATTTGCTTCACATATTTACATGCTTTGCATCCTGTATTGTTTGCGCAAACTTTAAAAAACAGAAAGAAAGAAAATTCAAATTTTAGTGCGCTTTTAAAGTAGGTACTAATTGCCCCCATCCTCTTTCTCCCCTTTCATTATCCTTCTCCTCAGGATAATGATAAACTGCACATGAACCTGTTGGAGCTGGAGGTTTCAGGTGACCCCTGGGCCTCAGCCGAGGCGGTGCAGGAGTGTGTGACACGAGCTCTGGCAGCTCCTCTCGAACCTCACACCAAGATCCTCTTCTCACAGAGGGGCCTACAGTTCGCAGAGGACTACAGCAACTCTATCCAGAGGTCAGAGTTCAGAAAGAGAACTATTTTAAATTAAACTGGTCCCTTAAACCCTTTCAGGTTCTTCAGTTTTTATATGTGTGTCCTCTGCAGTGTGCTGTCTGTTTACGAGGAGCACCAGAAGCTGCTGAAGGAGCTCGGTGGAACAAAGAGAGAAGCAGAGAACGGGTGAGAGAGGGAGGAACGACTAACTAAATGTGAAATGGACTTAAACCTGGTATTATTTAACATGTAGTGGGTGGGGTTTCACTTCTAGATGATTTATTTTTCTTAAAGAATAGTCCTTCATGTTATTGTCATCTGCCTCATTAATAAACATGTATAACAGCTGAGGCCTAGATGCATATTTTTGCTGAGTAAACGAGATGCGAACTGATTAGAATGAAAGTCACGCTTTCAGGATTTTCGTTCTGTAGGGATGAAGATCCAGAGAAGCTGAGCAAAACTGATGACGGCTCTGCTGTGTCTGCACAAGTCCCACCTACCATGCCGCACGTCCCCATCACCACGCCGCCTCCTCCTGTGATGGGCGCCGATATGAGCGCACAGACTGGCTACGGAGGATACAGCAGCTGGTACCAGGTAACCCTCAGATTTATATAAACTCTGTATTATGTGGTTTAACATGTCTGCCTGTGTTTTATTAATAGTGGAGTAGGATCAGAATACTTCATTAATCCGAGAGTAAATTATGTAATTGTTAGATTAGGATGGGTTTGAGGCTGCATATAGAAGATGAACATAGCCTCCTATTAGTTTGCAAATGTTCAGCTCTAATTTAATAGCCATTTGAAAGCAACATGTATGGACAAGAGGTTGGACTGCAATTTGCACAAATACAGATACCTGATAATTGTGTTGTTTTTTTGTTTTTTAATGCAATTATTTGCCAAATAATGTTACCTGTTCTGTAGTACGGACCATCCAAAGACGTTTTTGTCTTCAGTTTTGATGAGAATTTCTCGTATTTTATTAGTGTGTTATTTAGCTCTAATAGATGTCTGGATTTGAATCTGTTGGTCAGCTGGAGTCTTTCTGTGTGGAGTTAACATTTTCTCCCAGAGCCTGTGTTGGTTTGTCCGGGTGCTCCAGGTTCCTCCGTAGTCCAAAAACAGGCTTGCTGGGTTGATTGGTTAATTCTAAATTGATCATATGTGACCTATTAAGGGTGTACTCCTGTCTCCTGCCCAGTTGAACCCATCGTAATATGCTCCTGCGAGCTAGCCAAATAGACTAGTGAGGGTCCCATTATACCTGCCGTCCAGGGCCAAACATAAATAGATGTGGCTGTATGACCGTTACCAATGGTGCACATATAATAGGGCTGTCAGAAACCGCTTGCAACCACCAGTCCTTTGAAAAAAACATATGTTGTCCCGGATAATCAGACCAACTTGACAACTTTCATTTTTAGCATTTGCTCCAGGAAGCTTTGTGTGACTGGGGCTTAAAATAAATTGATGGAGTTTAGTAGCTGAAGATTTAAGCTTGAAGTTCAGAAACTAATGGGCTATGTTAATGATGGCTGTAGCCATCATTTATCTACAGTCTACTGAGAATGACTTGCCCTAGATGCTCCTTCAAGTGGACGCTCAAGAGGTGTCTTGATTTTTCAGCCCCGAGGTTCCAGCTTGGTTTAATGTAGCAAAGCACAGTTTAAGATGTTTTAAATCCTGTTTCCTGTTTGTTGCGGTTTTTCTCCAGCAACCACAATACGGCAGCTACGGCTACCAAAACACCTGGAACTACAACCAGGGCTACTATCCACCGAGCTAGAGAGAGCAACAGCAAAAGACCGCATCAGGCCACTGAACAATAAAACTGAACTGAACAGTCCTCCAGACTGTGGAGAAGTTTCATCCTGCTAAAGTTCATCCAGTCATTATTCTTCCCTCTCCGTCCTTCCTCTCAGTCACCTCACTGTCTCACTGGATTTATGAAAACGAGGAGTTGAGGTCATTTAAAAGATCATCTTTTCATTTTTTTTTTTCCCTGAACAGCAGGCGGAAAGATGAAAGGAAACACGGCGCTCATCTTCAGTGGCGTGTCTTTGAATTTTAATCAGAACTATTTTTGTATTCGTTGCAAGTTGACCGCGTTGCTCGTGTTTTAAAATCATCCAACTTCACAGGTGATGTATGATTGACATTTTGTACCATTCCACAGACTAGGCTATGTTTTTTTTCTAATGTATATAAAGGTGTTTTATAGTGTGTCACAACACTGCTTCTTTGTGTCATGGGTTTCTGCTTGTGTGTTCATAATTAGAGTGGGTGGGGCAAAAAAAAAATCAAATATCACACTGTAAAACTGGTGGCCTGTTTCGGGTCGCTGT